GTCCATCACCTCCCTGTGTTTTCTCTCTGTCCTCTGCCGCCCCCCCATTGCTGTCACCCCCACCCCAGGCTGCAGGACACGCTTGGTTAGTTTGCTCAGGAAGCCTCTCCTCCTTCAATATGTGCTAAAGCTTGATAATTACAAGCTAATTGCTTTATCTCAGGTTAAAAAAAAACCTTGTTAATCCTCAGTGGTTTTATTGCGAGCTGTGTGTCAGTGTGGCCCCGGTGAATCGCTGTTAAATGCGGAAAAGGTCACCGTGTTCAAACTGCAGCGCCTCGCTTCCTCTGCCAGGGGGAGGGTGTGCTTCCCTGGATCGGCTGGAGGCCCCTTCAGCCTGACTGATCACACCTTCCCCGCTCCAGGCTCCCTCTCCCCTGACTACCCATTGCCGAAGGGCTCCCCCCTGCTTTAAACAGGCCACTAAAGTTTGGTCCCTGTCCATCAGAATTTCTGATTCTTGTGTGCATGTGTGGTGCTTGGGGGGGTCCCTGAGTTTTGAACAGGATTGGGGGTTGGGGTGGGGGGTAGAACCGGCCTTCTCCAGGGCTGGGAAGCAGAACTGGCCCCGGGTCCTGCAATCATGCTGTATTAGGTGTGAATGAGACCCCCAGCTATCGATGTGCCAAGGGCAGAAATATCGGCTGCTTCTGCCCCGGGAATCAGGTTCTGCTTTATTTTATTTACACGTACGTGGTCCTGCATGCCGTTGGGACGCTGTGACCTTGGGATGCCACTCACTGCCCGCCCCTTTAGTGATACAGGATGCAGGTTTGGGTAATAGCAGAATGAGGGTTAGAGCTTCGGTCTTTGGGGAGTGGCGTGATCTGCGTGTTGTTTGGGGACACGCAGCTACACGCCGGAGCAGATGGGAGGGGTGCGACAGCACAGTGTCCTGGCGATGAGACTCCACATGCGGCCGAAACGATAACCATGTGCCTTTATAAAGCGGCGTTCCAGCTGTGGCTGTCCATCTCCGCCAGTGTTTACCGCTTTCCCAGGACGAGGCGGGCTTCCAGGCCCGGTGTCCTCCGTCCTCCTAATCGGGGTGAGCGCATCGCCTGGTTAAATATTTGGAAACTTTGCAGCTGTGCAAATTGATTTATGATGCCAGAGGTTTACTTAAAAAAACATAAATAAATATATGAAGCCTGTAGGGTATTATGTTAAATTAACATTGTATGCATTCTTTTATTTAGAATTGGGAGGGGGGGGGTACAATAAAACAAACAGGTGAGAACCTGGGGATGTATCTGTCTGTGTGGGGGCCCTTTACGGATGTGGCAGGGCCGGGGCGCCGGCTGTGGTGTCTCTGGGAGCCTAGGATGTGGTTTGGGGGCTTGGGGGGTGCGCCAGGGGGCTGGCAGATGGGGGCGCAGTCTGCTCACCCCCACTTTCTGGCCAGCAGTGGCTGGGTGTGACCACACACACCTTAAGTCGTGGTAGTTCCATTGAAATCTTTCGGTCTCTCCTGTTCAGAAAGGTAATCAAGGGTGTTTTTTTGGGTTTAATCCCGATTTCGGAAGCGAGAGCTTGTCGTCTTCCAGCGATACCAGGCGGAGCATGCGCCGTGCAGCGGGCCCCGCTTTCCGAGGACAGAAGGTTCTAGAAGGGCCCTGTCTCCAGCCCGACATCATTGCTAGTCTTGCAGGCAGCGTTTCATCGTGGGGTTATTGCAAATTGAATTACCGGGCTGCACTTGAGAGCCATTTTGGGTCCTGTCAGAAAATTGAAGCGGTGAGAGGGTTGATTTGAGAGGGTCCCCACTGGCCGGCCTCCGCTTTCTGCTGCTCCTTATTAGAACAAACGATTTTCAGACCTTGCAACTGCTGGCAGGACCTGCTTTTCCCTCTAATTGCAGTTTGATTTTTTTTTTTTGTCCGTGTGCATTTGTGCACGCACGTACGCACGTGTGTGTGTGTGTGTGTGTGTGTGTGTGTGTGTGTGTGCCCATGTGCCTGCCTTGAACTGCAGGAGCAGAGCCCTCTTGGGTGTGGCTGGCGGCTGCCGGCGTGTCAGTGGGCCAGGTGGGCCCTGACCGATCCCCCCGCCTTAGGAGCCAGCGTGATCTTTGGGTATGGAGATATCAGAGGGAGTATGTGAGGAAGTGAAGCGCGTGACATGTTTACGGCCGAGCATGCCATGACCGTGTGTTCACAAACTGCACACGTATGCGGGACTTGCCCGGCATTGGTGGCAGCGGTCTGTTCTTGGGGTTGAAGTTAACTCCTCGTGTGCCATCAAGCTGTGGGAGAGGGTCTGTTCGACAGATGGGACGCCCAGCTTGGCACCTCTTTGCTCGTATTTACACAGTGGAACATAGCCCCTGATTAATTACATGATCTCTCTCCCACGACGCTGAGGGTGATGGGGATTGGGTCACCTAGAGGCCGGAGGTCACCAAGGGACACTCAGGGTCCAAGGACTGGGGGGTGACCGCGGCCGCAACCATAGCGAACTGCCTTATATCCGCTTGCAGGGCCGTAAGCGTGCGATGGGGAGGGACGCCAGCTTATCCATCCTGATCCTCATTGACAGCCGGGCCCCGCTTGGCATTCAGAGGCCCCCGCTGGCGTGGCATGTGGTGATACACAGCACCTTCTTACAGTCACGGTGACTGTGTGTGCATGTCATGGGGATTGGGGGGGGGGGCCGCGGTAAGTATTGGCTTTAGAACAGAAAGTATCATGTGACTAAGAGGCAGGGCAGAGCTCACTTTGGTATCGGACCACTGCAGCGTAAAAGATGAAAAAAGTGAAACGTTTTTTTTTTTTTAAATAAAAAAATGATATTAACCCTTTGCTGACATCCCTAATTTCCGGTTACAGCCTTGAAAGAGCACCTCAAACTTTTTGTGCGACGCAGATTCTAAGTGGCATCTAAAATATTAAATTTGTATAATTTATATTTAAATTGAAGCTGAGAAATATGACAGTGGCTGTCTGGCAGTTGTCCCTTTCGGCTGATGTGATCTCGGCGGGGGTTATGTAGGGCCGGGCCAAGGAGGGCGCTCTCTCCCCCCCCCCCCCCGCCGGGGTATGAATGCCCACTGCTGCCCCCGGTGCTGTACTCCAGGTCACTGCGACACGAAACGCCTGATTTATTTATATGTAAAACATCGACATTCATAGCTTTTAGAATTTTAAATAACAGCGAGAATATTGTCATTCTGACCTTATTAAAGATTCAGCATCTGTCGTCAGCGTGGCTCACGTTGGCTGTTCGCTCTGGGTGTCTTTGCCTGCCGTGGAGCATTAATCTGCCTAACAGTACAGTTATTCTGCATCACCTACTAAAAAGTGTGAAGAAATCAGATGGCTCTTTCTGCTCCTTCGCCTTTTCCCACCCGAGAAGGCGATGGTGCTTGTGGAGCATAATTAGTGGCAGTCACTTGGGGTGGGGGTGTGTTAGCGGATGAGCCCCCCCTGCTGGAGCTGGTGCTGGCCGTGTTCGCGTTCACCGCCTCCTCGTCGCTGGGGGTCCCTCTTCTGTCCAGCTGGCTGCTTGTTCTCCAGAAGCTGACTGGACTCGCTGGGCTCTCTGCCTCCACATTCGCCTTGTGTTTTCATCTGTTTTTTTCTCTTTTGTGTTTCATAATAGAGTACCACAACACCAGACAGATTTTTAGATTTTTTTGTTTTGTTTTGTTTTTTTTTTTTTTATCTGTTTTTGTTTTGCTCAGCATTTGTCTGTCTTTGAATTTAATGATTAATTCTGCATGCGTGGGATCCACAAAGGTGCTCTCTCTCTCTCTCTCTCTCTCTCTCTCACTTGCTTTTGACAACCTGGTGATTGGAATATTAACAACACGACCCGTCTGGTTGCTTGGCTTGCAGGGGTGGGTCTTTGCTTGCTTTGAAAGCGACGGCAATGAATTCAGACAGCAGATTGGCAATGTTTCGATGGGAGGACTTGGGCAGGGGGGTGAGCTTCAGTGTTACATATGCTAAACAGGCTGATTTTGAAGAGTTTTAATACTTTAATCATTTATCAGTTTCTTCCCCCCCCCAGACCAATTCTTTAATGATTTGCTTCTTTAAAATATGCTTTATGTACTTTTAGTCTGTGTGAGACTGATTATTGTTAACAGGAAACACAGGTATTATGCTGATTAGAGCATCCTGGTGCATTATGGGAGTGGGGGGCAGGGTGCCAGGGAGTAGGGCGATGACCCTCCGGAAAGGTGGGGGGAGGTTGGGGCTCCTCCGGCGGACGCTTCCGGAGTGATGGAGCATTGATTTCGGATTGGTAATGAAGGTCTCATGCTCCCCAGAGAGGCCTGCGGGGCATGCTGGATTTGGGGGGCCTCGCCACAGAGACCTCGCTGAGGCCAAGATCAGATCATATTGGTTGGGGAGGAGGTTTCCAGACCGCTCAGAATTTGGATCCTCCTACTGCCTTGGGGGATGAGGCTCTGGGGTGCGTCCCACACCTGCATCCCGGGTGTTCCCCTTATTGCTGCTGCGTACTGCCTGTTTGATTAAAAACACCGGGAGCCTGACCTCCACAGCTCCAACCACCTTCAAAGAAGCATCAAGCACATCCACGTCTCCAAGGTCATCGAACAGCCCGCTCGTAGCAAAACACACAGCAGTTACCTAAGGCGCTATATGTTTTATTCATTCAAACGATAACAAAGACAGGACCGCCTTTCTCGCATGGCCTGATATCTGCGCTGCCGCGTGTTGTCATTGGCATGGGGGGGTTGGCCAAACTTTAATTCCGCTTGTATTTTTCTTCTCCTCCCATTCGTGTCTGTGCTCGTAACATTAGACGTTTTGGAAAGATTTTCTGAGTTGCTGTCAGACAGCTTTGGTTATTGTGTCCTAGGTTCCTGCACCGTTAGACCTTATTTATCCTATTTTTACTTATCTTCGCCTTTCGGTTTATCGGCAGGGCGACTTAATCTGAGGTTGGAGCAGGGAGCAGTGCTGAGGATGCAGTGTGCCACACGTGGGGAATAACTGTGCCCTCTCTCCCCTCTTCCCACTTTCCCACAGGTGACTGACAAGTCGGTGCAGGCCTTCGCGGAGCACTGTCCGCAGCTGCAGTTCGTGGGCTTCATGGGCTGCTCGGTCACCTCTCTGGGCGTCATCCACCTTACCAGGGTGAGTGAGGGGCAGGCCTGGGGGTGGAGGTGGGCGAAGCAGTGGCAGGGCGGAGCTTTGAGGCTGGGTGTGTGGATGCTGCCGTGGGCGGAGCCTTTAACCTGGGTGTATGGTAGGTGAGTGGGGGGAGCCTTGTGCCTTGGTGTATGGGGATGTGGGTGGGGCAGCATTTGCCTGGCAGGAGGGAAGGTGAGAGGATGTGGTCAGCAGAATGTTGTGGTTCCTTGCTGCTGTCCCTGTTAGCCATCTGTTCCTGTCTTGGTGTACAGTTCATGCAAGCACTTCATTATTTACTCATTTTTAATCAAAACTTGACTTTTGGCAAGCAATCTTTTGGAAATCAGTCCCTTGAGGGTTCTGTGTGGGATTATTTTCACAATATGGTCTTCAGATGTGCTTTAAAAGAATGGCAGAGATATTAGACTGATAATTGCGTGAGCAGGAAAATCCGGTGCACACAAGGGATTGGTTTTGACACTCCCGCAGTAATGGGGCACAAGGAAGTGATTTTAGGAATGGTGTGCTTTCCACATTTGAACCGTGTGCTTTTTCAAGCTGTCATACTGTTGTGACTTCGTGAAGCTGTCATACTGTTGTGATTTGTGTTTAAAGAAGATTTTGGCTTTCCGAGGGGGGTGGGGGGAATGTCTCCACAAGCTCAGGAACATGAAGCCTTTGGAATGGAGAAGTCGGACACTGTTTTCTTTGGAGTTTAGGAGAACGCATCCTTCCCCTGGCCGTCACTTTGACAGGGACTCTGAACTCTGATCTACCCTGGGCGTCGCTGCTGACCTGCCGGTCTGTTTTCCCATCTCTCAGTCGGCTAGCGGGCCCCCATCTATCACCCCCCTGCGGTCGCTGTACCCCCTAATCCACCCCTGATCTAGGGCTGAGGCCCTGCTGTCGGGCTGGTAAAATTACAGTTTCTAGTGTTGGCCTGGTTTTTTTCGTAATGAGTTATTATGATTTTTATTTGCTAATTAATTTTCTCGAGAGACTCTTTGGCCCTAAGTGACTCTTGCATGTTACTTTAGTGCTTCATGCAGCTGGATTGGTCTTGGCGAGCGAGAGGTTAAGTGCTTTGCTGATGGGTGAGATGCAGTTCCTCCCCTGTGACTTTTTTTTTTAACCTGCTGCCTTCCTGGCATCTTTACCATCTGCTTTCTTACTTCGCATGGAAAGAGTGCTGGCCCGCCTTCCTGCCCCCCCCCCCCTTCAGAGTTACGGAGGCCGGCTTCAGACCCCTCCATCAAACTCCTCTGCCAAACTTCCCTCTTTCCTTGGCTCGCCATTTCTCCTTCTCATGAGAATGAGTTTAGTTCCAGACTCTATAAAACGCTGTCAATTTTATGGAATGCCCGGCAGTCTGGAGAGACCCTCCCATCACCCTGTTAATAAATACCAGCAAGACTAAGAAGTTTCCTTGAAGATTCCGAAGACCTGAAACTTTTTTTTACCAAAATTTCTGTGAGTTCTGAAACATTCTCCTGAAGGTTCTAGAGTCCTAAAACTTTTTTTGCCAAGTATTTGAGTTCTGTGAGTTTGAGTTCTGAAAGATTCTCCTGAAGGTTCTAGAGTCCTAAAACTTTTTTTGCCAAAAGTTCTTGAGTTCTGAAACGTTCTCTAGAGTCCTAAAACTTCCTCTTAATAGCTTTAGAGTCCTAAAACCTTCTTCCAAAAGTGCTCCGTTCCCCATCTTCTTGCATATTCCCTTCGTGGGTTCCTGAGTGGTGGCCTAGAGTCTGCCCTCTCAGGAGTTACTCTCGCTACTTAGCAAAGTTTAAAGTTTAAATCTCATTAAGGTGTAATGGACTGAATCCAGAGATGTTAGGGCAGAAGAGGACCCTGCTGTTTCCTTATTACCATGCTAATGAAGGGCTCGCCGTTAGAGATATCCCCACCACACGGCGCCAGATTACACAGATTACGTTTGCCGCTAAATTAAAAATAAGATAACCTTGATTTTTCATAAAATTTACCGTTATGGACGTTCCGTAGGCCGTGCGTCACGTTCTTGAGTCGGGTGAGTCGATCGATCAGCAGCTGAGTGTCCTGGCCGGTGCAGCTTGAATTTGGATAATCAATTGACCCCTAAAACTGTTCCGCTGACCAGCTGGGGCCTTTCGTCTGACCTTTGGCGAGTCTCTCTGCACATAAACCACAGTGTGAGCTCAGCGGCTGGGTTACAGGGCTACGGACTCTCCTGGCACACGCGTCTGCAATGGGTCACACCATCGTTGCTGAGGAATTCCTGGGTGATGTTTGCTGTTTACTGAGCAGTTGGATGGGGGGGGGGGATGGGGGCGTTGGGACGTGGAGCAAGAATAAACAGACATGAGTGGTTTGTATATCGGAGGGGAGCAAACCTGGGAACTTCTAGAGTGAGATGAAGGTGTTCGGCATGACCAAGGCACTGATGAAGTGTAGCTGAGCCCAAGTGGAGCCCCCATTAGGGGGAGCCCATGCGGTCGCAGGGGCAGAACGCCAGCTCCCCCCCCCCCCATTGCAGCTGTGGCCGCTGACGGTAAGGACCTAAGGGCCCTGGAATGATGGTAGGAATTGTGGGATGGAGACGCACTCGAGTTCCGTTTCAGCCTCCCTCGACTCCAAACGATCCCCTGCGTCACGCGCCGCGCCGCTCGAGGGTCTGGTTGTGTGACTGATTCCATCGCCGCCATTTCCATGACAAAACCTGATTCAATGGCGCCGACCGGTGAATCATCCGCGGCGGGCAGATCAGGCATCCTTGCGAAAAGCCCCGATCCGGCCGCGGTGGGAAAAAACCCAAAGCAGTGGCGCAGTTGGCTCCCGGCCGCTCCATCTGCGGGCCCGTCGCTTTACACCGACCGCGCTTTCAGGGACTGCTCGCATCTGATAGGCCTTTATATACCGACACGCGTTTATCAGTGGATGGGGTCGGCGTGCGAATGCGCCGGGGAACTGACAGGGTCTGCGCTTTGTGGGAGCACGTGCTGCTCTCGCGTCACTTCTGCATGACACACGGTCCCCCCGTACTGCTGCCACCGCAGCAGCCAGTCAGGATCGTGGTAGCGCCGTTCAGATGTGGTGGCGTGCATTATTTACGCTGTGTGTGGGTGGATGCCCTTCGTTTTATGCTTATGCATGCCTCTGTGTGAATGTGCTTCTCTGTGACATTTACGCCGGCTGTCTGTCTGTCACGTACGCCACCTTCAGCACGTGCAAATCACCATGGAATCGGAGAAAACCGGCAGCGAGGGATGGGCTGGTCATGGTGATCCGGCGAAACGGGACATGGCTTCCTGATGACCGAACCCCCCCCCCCCCCCCCTCTCTGCACGCCCACTGTCACACCTGACCGGCGTTTGCCCTCCATGAGCGGGATGCCGACATGGTGTGTGATGCGTAGGGCGGCCGACTGCAATGTGCATCGCTGCTCGGGGGATGCGAAAAAATCCCCCCCCCCCCCCCCCTCCCCCCCCACCCGTGCACCTTGTTCATCCCGGCTCACGGACTCTGCTCATATAGATTTTTTAAATTTCCATTATCGCGTCAAATTATAACTGTGTTGAACTGTTGAATTTTTAATATCTGTAGAATTTAATTTTTTGACTCGCTGTTTCCTTTTCCATTATCTGAAGCTTACAGTTACTTTATATTATCTCAAACATTATGAAATGTACATTTAAATCAATTATATTCATTTGAATATAAGATCAAACCTTTAATTACTTTAAGATCTTAAACCTTTAATCAATCACATTCTGCAGTTATTAGTTGTTTGATCTTATTTGCGTCGGCATGTTCCGAGCATTGATGTGTGCGTTCGCGTGTTTAATTAACATGACGGATCGCTGTAATCGGTCACTCCGACAGCCCTGATTTGCGTTTCCTGCTCTTGGTGACGCTCGTGTCCCCTCACTGTTCCTGTCACTTTCTCCGTCAATAACTTCAATTGGCAGTTCAACAGAGTTCCATTAGCAAAAGTCCTCTGGTCCTGCTTTTGGCAAACATATATATATATATGGATTTAATACAATATCAACATATCCTGCTCCATTTAGAATATTTCTGTCATTTGGAAACGATTATCTCGAGGCCGGTAACACCAGACCCACTTAGACTTGAATCCAAACTTTACTCGTCACATGTTCTGACGATGGGTTCTGCTTTTAATGTCTTCTCAGGATGTCCTCGTACATCAACCTCTTTTTGGCCACCGCCCTCGTTACTGGATAGCATATTTCTGTGTGACAGTTCTCCATTTTGGTTTTTTTTTGTGTGTAAAGGAAGTTCTGTGAAGTTGTCATGTGCCCCATCATGGCAGTAATGGCCTGCTGTTCCATTCTCCTTTGGGACCAGTGGTTCTGCTCTTAATCTGAGAACGTGTTCGCAGGCAGAGACTGCACAGACGCGGGCCGGGGCAGTTTCCGAAGCGCGGTGGTTCCTGCCAGACGGCTTAGCGCGGCTTTCTTCCGACGACTCCCCCGTCAGATCTGCCTGAATTCATGGAATCGAGCTTGACGTGCGTGCTTCGCTTACTTATGTCATCGGCACGGCTCGACGCCGCACGTGTCCTACAACCCTTGGTGGTTTCCTCCCGCGAGCGGCTCGGGATAGCGGATGCGGGAACGAGGAGGAACGGAAGAGCTAACCCATTAAAAATGCCCGGTCGTTAAGTACAGGTGTGGGATGATTTATTTCCTCCCCTTCCATTAATAGGTCTAAACTCTTTTTATTAGTGGAACATAAAATAAAATGTCTGATTAATCTGGCTTTTTAAGCTCCTGCGTTAAAGGCTTTGGCTTTTAACCTGCTAAATGACGGCCGCCTGCCTTTTCTGCAATAAAATTAGACACAGGACACTGCTGCTCCAGCAAGACGTCTTCTGTAAGACAAAAATAAAATAAAGTGCCACTGTTGTATTTCAGTAAAGCGATCGATTGACATACGCGTCAAAAGCATGTTTTTATTCGCTACACGGACTGAACGCTGTAAGAAATGTTAAGGCTTATGATGGG